CATTTCAAACCCTTAGAACTTCTCGTTCCAGTGCGAAGATTGCTCCTGTCATATAAACCAATAATATGCAACTTAGGAAAAGGAGCTTTCTCCAAAAAAATTGCCGTAAACAATAACATTCAAACAAAATTTTAAATAATGCAGTACTACATATGCCTTGCGCTACGATGCCAACCAAGAATATAAATACTTCAAAGTAGTGTGTCTGATGGAGTAGTCCTACCAAAAAATATCAAATTGCAGATTACTCAAACGGTTATAATTACTACACCTTCAAATGAATAAACAGGAATATAGTTAACAACTTACACCAAAATTTTTCCCTTAGTCGGCCGTGAGGTAAAATGACCATCAAAGTGTAAGGTAACCAGCAGTCCAAAAAACATGCTAAAGAAAAAGTCTTTTACCAATGCATCAACCATGAACTCGAACAATGTGCAAGCAAAAAAGAATATTCTATGCAACATGAGTTCATGGTCGACCCAAAAAGGTAATTTCGCATATCTTAACTAAAACTTAAGTAGGACCCAACAAACTCGGCCCACTCCATTCTCAACACGTTTATGTCTTCTTTCGTGTACTCTTTTGGTTCAAGTTTCATCTGTATACATAGAATCAGTAATTAATTAAGTTCGAGACATTCGCATATATACATATGTTTTGACATTCATGCAGACTAAATTATTACTTACTACATCTGGGATTGAAGTGCTCTGTTGGTTTACTATGGCCTGCATGAATCGCATAACGTAATACCCCACATTCTGTTGATCCAGGTTGTCTTGGGCACTATGCATACAACAAGGCATTTTGCAGCTAGTAATCTGATAATAAATAGAACAGCAACTATAAACCATTTAATGAGTGAACATCATCTCGTACCTTTACACACTTCCATTGCACCTTCACTTTGTCGCATTTATTGAAAGCCCTACAAAGTAATGGACAATAAGTTTATAAATCGACTGAACTTAAGTTCATAATCACTACTTTACTTCTACACACCGGTTGACGACATCCATTATATCATTGTCCAAACGATTTCTCAAAGGGTTTATTGAATAAACCATATTCTTGGAGTAATCAATGACTATCAATATCCAATGAGATCTATGCATTCCAAATAAATGAGAAAATCAGTTAAATTAGCATACATACCATAATACCTTTAGAAATGAAAAGGACTTACCCACTGTTGTAAGGAGCAAGAAGCAATTGACCCGACTCCATTTGCATAAGTCGTTTTGTCAAATTCTCCAAACGTGCTTCTTTTGAAAGATTGGATGTCGATATTGATCCAGCGTCAAGAAATTTGTACATATGAGATGCATCTTGCTTCACCAACTTCTTGTATAAGTATCTAGAAAATAAATAAAAGTCAAACATTAGCCATATGACGATGTTATTGTATCAGTGATTTCATTAGAAGTCATGTCACTTACAGTCTGTCCATACCTTACAGATTCGTTTACATCTGAACACGTCATCAGTCACTGGCAATTTTACATCATATTTACACATCATCATCTCATGAAGCATGCATCGTAGAGTAATTGGGGTCGTTCCATCATGTTCGAACGGGTACAGCTGAAGCACCTCCTCTCTGGTTGCAACCTTCTACTTAGTTGAAGGAATTGAAGTTAGTCTTACAATACAAAAAGGGACATAGTACTTAAATTATTTTCCACTATGTTACCCCTTTTTCATTGATGGCAATGAGGTGTCCCGGCCATAATATGTGCGAACCAGCTTTTGAGCTAGTAGGTTTGATCCTCTGTTAGATGGAATAGGCAAAGGGCAATCATTCTGGAACACCACATCTATTGATACCTTCACATTGCCTCCTTCCAAGTTGCATTCGAATATTGTTCCTAATGCCATGACGTTGTCGCTTGACCCCAACGACAATTGACAAGAATCTCCCTCCTAGTATTCATGTCATCCACAGCAATAAGTCAATAATGTTACTTCCATAATAGTTTTAGTACTAAAATTGGTGTACAACCTTAAGGAGCGCATTTTTCTGAACATTACTAGTTGCCTACAAAAAAACGATTAAGTCGCCCAAATTAGCCATGTGTCGAAAGGATAAGAACAAATAAGCTAAATAACAATCTTACCTCTTCGTGCCTTTCCTCGACTTCAATAATGTCATCTTCTTCTCTTCCTTCCGCAGCCTACCCTCCTATTTCCTCTTCCTTTATCTTAACTTCCTTCTCTCCTGTTTCTATTTCCTTTATATTCTCTGTTTTTTCTCCTTCCTTACTGTCTTCCTCTCCTGTTTCTCCTTCCTTCATCTTCTCTTCTTTTTCTCGTTTCATTCTCTCTTACAACTTACTATCACTTGGTATCGAAGCATTTTGTTTATATTTCGCCAATTCCTCTTCCAACTCCTTAATCCTTCTGGCATACCTATCTTCGAGATTCGAACAAACCTTCTCCTATTCCAACTTAGAGGTCGACCATTTCGTTGGTTTATGATTGTACTAAGTCTTCGTTATATACCTACCCACACCTGTAAGTCCTCCAGGACGGTCTCGGGTACCCAAAGCAAGTGATAGTGCATCTTCTCCTGTAGAGTTGTTGCTATCATCCTCACCTTGTGTAACTTTTATCTCCTTCTACATTTGTAGAATGAGATTCAAATAAGTAAAAGATGAATCTGTTTAGCAAAATACTCATACTCACCTTGTTTAACTTTTATCTCCTCATACATTTGTATCGAGATACGTACCAAGCGTTCGACTACCACTCTAGCACATTCTTCCCTGATATTTCCATCCTTGTCCATACGTACTTTCTTCCATAACGTGCCTTGATCCCTCGGGTCTTCCTCACATTGGGAATTTTTCTGTATACAAAGTTAGGCAAACTTAGCGAATACAGCCTAAAAGATCATCAAGACATATGATATCCGATTTACTAGGTGTATCTTACCAGTTCTTCTGAGAGATTCACGTACCCCTTTCGTGACAACCTGTGGTTGTATACATGCATTCCCCGCAATTCTCTATTCCGTACACTTAAAGCCTTTATAATAGTGCATAAATTCGTATCAGTATTAGATGCATTTGTCTATATACATTGAACCAAAAGTACTAGTATGTATCATCACCATAATTAGTACCTGGAATTCTGTACTAAGTCTAGACTGGACAAATCGGTCCCAGTGTTGTTGTGGAATATGGGATTCGTCCTTCGGAACCACCTTCAACTTCGTCGGATCATCACAATAAGGGTTTATGTAGGTGGAAGTCAACCTCAACTTATATTGACGAAATAAATTACCGATACAGTTCAAGATATCTTTCTTCGCCCTCCGATCAACAATGAATCCACCCTATTTTGTCAATAATAATTAAATAGATAAGATCACTGTCTCACTGAAATAACGATATTGTGCTTTAAACTTAAGTGTACCTGAACCAACTCATATATATTATCTTTGGTCTCTGTCGGAACCAGCTTTCAATTGTCATATATTATTGGGACATGGTGGCGAACGCACGTCCCAATCTAGTTGCTCAACTTGTGCCCATTCTTACCTATTGGTTGCTCTTCTTCATTGTATTGAATTACTTTCTTTTTTCTGTCACTACTCGCACGTGTGATATCGTGCATCCGAGTACGTCCACGGGTATTTTGTTTGCTGGACTCTCCTTTTACATCCTCACTAGCAGACTGCTTACTATCTTCAATTGACTTGGCCTCTTCCTCCATCTGTTTCAAATTGTTTGACAATATATACTTAAACAAGATTAGGTCAAGCATTAAATATGTATAACAAAGCAGAATCATTAAATCGCATCGCCTTAAGCATTAAATCTGGAAAATAGTAATGAAACTACTTGGGAATCACTTAACTCATGAAAATATCATATATAAAGATTAGTACAAGCATTTCAAATTACAAACGAAGTCATAGTACATATCCAAGCATAGTATGGTTCATATTAAATAGTACGAGTGATAGAAACATCATTGGTGTTACAATCTCCTCCTCTATGTTGTCAGTCAAAAATGTCTCCATCACAGGAGGGTGTCCGAATCGACGTTGGAGGACAATGTAGCAAATTATCCCCAAGCTCATCATTCAAACCTGCACAATGTACATCCCTTTGCGAAGGTCTAATAACGATAGACCATTTTACATATGCTGGATCTTCTACGTAGAAAATCTGTCTACCTTGTGAAGCTAGAATAAATGAGTCAGATGTATGGCCAATACGGCTCAAGTCAACCAAAGTGAATCCAAGATCATCTGTCCGGACACCATTTCGACTATCCACCCAATTACATCTGAATAATAGAATTTTGAATTTGTTGTAGCCATTTTCCCATATTTCTTGAATGACTCCAAAGAACGTCATGTCTGCAACAGGAGGGTTCTTGTCCTTCACACTAGACACTTGCATGGTTGTAGCAACCAAACTAATTCCACTATTTTGAACAGTTCGAGTAGAGTCATAAGATTTAGTGTTGTAGCAACATCCATTGACCTTATAACCCTCATAAGTCAGAACATCTAGATTGGGGTCATGTGCTATCTATCTTAAAGTCTCCGAAATGTTTTTATCATTACGCAATTTGCCCATAACCTATTGTACAAACATGTAAAACTTGTTAAATTACAATTTCGTTCCGTATGAATGTATTTGGAAAAACAATTAAAATAATTTGATTACCTCCTCATGGATCCAAGAACCAAATGATCGATTGTATTCATCCTACAACCACTTTTCATTCGTCGCTCTACTTGGATATTTCAATTTTAGAGACTCCATATGATGACTACATGTTAATCATCAATCAGCGCAAAGAAGTATATACTAATGTAATAAATGATATAAACCATTTACAAAGAAGGATTACCTTATATATGGTTGTACAACATCAGTGTTCTCCAACACGTAAAAATGAGCTTGTTTGAGATGTTGTACAGTAGGCCTCACGTAACATACAGCTGATAGAGGTCTATCAATAAGTGATTCTTCTCTCTCTTAAAGGGAGCCTAGCCCAACTGGTGCTAGTCTAGATAAGAACTCGGTACAGAATTCCACAGCTTCCTCAACTATGTACGCTTGTGCAATACTACCTTTAGGTTGAGTTCTATTATGGACGTAGCCTTTCAACACTTTCATATATCGTTCGAATGGATACATCCATCGTAGGTATATAGGCCCACACAGTTTAATTTCTCTAACAATATGAATAATAAGATGCACCATTACTATGAAGAAAAACGGTGGGAAGTACTTCTCTAGTTGACATAAGGTTACGACAACATCATCTTGCAGTTGATCTAGTTCGGACACATTCAACTCCTTCGAGCATACTCTATTAAAGAAGAAACAAAATCTTGTTATGGCATAGCACACATCCTTAGGGAGCACTGAACGCAGAACAACTGGAAGAAGTTGTTGCATGAGAACGTGACAGTCATGCGACTTAAGGCCCTTAAGTTTGACATCATCTACTGATACAAGAGTACTGATGTTTAAAGAATACCCTTCTGGTACCTTGATTTTAGATAAAGTCGTATAGAAACATTGTTTCTTCTCCTTAGACAATGTGTAACGTGCTGGAGGTAAGTACGTTCTTTTTCCTCGGAATTGGGGTGCCAGTTCTGGTCTAATATTCATGTCAATAAGATCAAGCCTAGCATTTATTATATCCTTATTTTTTCTTGATATATCAAGTAATGTTCCGACAATGTTCATGCACACATTCTTCTCGATATGCATTACATCTAGACAATGTCTAACGTGCAATTTTTTCCAATAGAGGAGATAAAAAAATATAGATCTTCTCTTCCAATACTTGTTTGGGAAGCCAATCTCATTCAATATTCCAAAAATATCCTCCCCTGATAATGGYGTTGGAGCAACTCTAAACTCTTTCTTACCATCGAATGTCTTTTTTTGTTTTCTGTACGGATGATGTCTTGGCAAAAATCTTATGTGGCCCATATATGCATTCTTTTTCCCGTGTGCCAATCTAATTGAAGTGGTGTTCTCCCCACATATCGGACAAGCTTTATAACCCTTAACACTACAGCCGCACAAATTACCATATGCAGGAAAATCATTGAGGGTCCACATTAAAACAGCCTTTAGTATAAAATTTTCTTGTCTATATGCATCAAAACATTCCACTCCATATTCCCACATGAGTTTTAGGTCATCAACCAGAGGGGCTAAATATGTATTAATATCATAGCCGGGTTGATTCGGGCCTGAGATCAACATGGTAAGCATTAGAAATTTCCTCCTCATGCATAGCCATGGTGGAAGGTTATATATGGTTGTTATTACAAGCCAACAACTGTATGTACTACTTCTTTCATCATATGGATTCACCCCATCAGTTGATAAACCTAAGCAAAGATTCCTTGGTTTCGAACCAAAATTTGGCCAAATATGATCAATCAACCTCCATGACGGAGAGTCTGTCGGATGTCGCACAATTCCATCCATTTTCCTATCTATCGCATGCCAAACTAGATTCTTTGCATTACCTGAGTTTCTGAACAATCTTATAAACCTTGGAATAATTGGAAAGTATCACACTTACTTAGCAGAAACTCCTTCATTCTCTTTCATTGAATTCTTATGTATTATCCATCTTGACGAATTACACTTATGACATTTAGTCATATCTGCGTACTCCTTTCTATACAAGCAACAATAGTTTGGGCATGCATCAATTTTTTCGTAACTCAACCCAAGGGCACACAACGTTTTCTTTGCTTCGTACATAGAATTCGACATTTCGTTAGGGTCTGACAATATATCACTTATTATGGACAGAAGTTCAGAAAAACTGGAGTTACTCCACCTAAATCTCACATTCAAATTGTATAATCTCACAAGAGCTGATACTTTTGTAAACTTTCCACATCCGTGGTACAACGACTTCTTAGCATTATGAAACATAGTTCAAATGATTTTGGTACATCAGAGAATTCATCCTGAACAGATTGAACCAAGTCACCCACCTTAAAAAAGTCGAGATCATCTTCATCACTCTCGAGTGCATCATTATTGGATGACTGGTCGGCCGTGATATTTCCTAAGTCTTCACCGTGCGAAAACCATACCCTATAACTTTGGTCAATACCATTTGAATATAAATGATATTTAACGGTTGCTATGTCCTTGCATATAAGATTCCCACACTTCAAACAAGGACATCGTATGGAATTAGCACCATTAGCATGACTCAACCGAAATTCAATGAATGTTTCAACTCCCACTTTGTACTATTTGGACAATCTATTTTTCTTCATCCATGACTTATCCATTTCACTACTAAAATGTTGACGACCGAATATCAATAAGACGTTCATAGCATAGAAAACACAACTTGTGAATATTAAATTCCAAACGTTTATTACCAAAGCCACATCATTAATAAAGAAAAGAAGTCAAACAATGTCAAGATTTAGCATACTTTAAACTCAAAGAAAGAAATCCAGTATCCATGTTCCAAACAAGCTTTATTGTCTGAACATCAAGCTTTCATGGGATCATTCCAAACATTAAACCAGAACAACGCCAGCATGCTTTAAACAAAAATGAATCGCAACATTGAACGATTAAGGTTTCTAGAATAAGCAGATCCCAACTGAAACCCACTAACAAACTTAGCATAGCCAACAAGGTTATACACATCATGCTTACGAACTCATGATACACTTTCCATACAACAACAGTGCAACAGTGTTCATTCTCAAATCCACACTTAGCATAGCCAACAAGTTTCTACATCGCAAAACAATTTTACCACATCTCCCAATACGACAAAATACTTTCATCTATGTACGAACATAAACTAAATGTCAAACCCTATATGTTTAATTAAGGAAAGATAGAAAGGGGTTGTATCGGAAGATTGACGAACAACAGTGGTGGTTAGTGGCGCTTCGGTGGTCAGTGGCACCGTTCGTGGGTCTTACTCGAAGCCGGCGCACCAAAGAGATGCAGGGAGTCGCGCCACTACTCGACGTCGGCTGCTGCTAACGCCGTCATTCTTGGACGTCGTGTTGCCGTGGATCGACGGAATGAGAGTGAGGAGATGTTGCTGCCGAACCAAACACATCGCCGTGGGTATTGCTGTCGTTGCAGCTACAGTCTAAGGTCGCCTGATGAGTATGCCGTCGGAGAAGAAGAAGACGAGGGTTGGGGGAGGGGCCGCTGAAGCAAAAGGAGAAGGGAGGAAGTAGAAGAAAGGATAAAGCGGGATTTAGTGGGTTTTGAGAATTGTTTACAAAGGGGAAAGCATGTAATTCTTTAGATATTATTACAAAATAAATTTTAAATTCCAAAAAATGAATTTAAAAGATGTTTTAGTTAATTTAAAATTTTTCCTCTATTTTTTCTTTATATTTTAAAATTTACATACTCCAAACAAAATTTCATTTTTTTTCAAGATTTGTAATACATAAGCATCCATTAAACCTTTTTGGATGGAAGGAAAAAAAACTAAGAAAATTTTGGGTATTAAAATATATAGATAAAATTAAAGAGTAAAAAAAAATTGCAATTACTTGGCCCTCAATAGTTATATAATATAATAAGTGCAAAGTTTCGAATAAATTTTAGTCTTTTAGACTTTTATGTTTTCTTAACTTAAATTCCAATAAATTAGCTTAAAATGTCTATAAGTTAATTTCTTTATTTTTTGTCTCCAGTTTTGTAATTTACAAATTTCGACAAACATTTGTATTTTATCTTTCTTAAGATTTGCAATATCAAATTGCAATCCATTGTATTGAAAATGTAAGTATTATTTAAATTTTTTTGGATTGATGAAAAAAAATTCATGGAAAACTGACTTCATCAAGAAAAGCAACTTTTAGTGACGTTTTACCGGACGTCACGAATAAGCCTGGAATCTTCTTATCGTATCGTGACGATTCTAAAACGTCATGAAAAATAATATTCCGTGACATTTTCTACGCGTAATGAAAAAGTCGCCAATCCGAAAAACTCCGTATTTTCCCGTAAAAAATGCGCCTCAAGTATTTCGTAACGTTTTTTAAACGTCACGTAAAATAAGTTTTGGGCAACTTATTGTGAAGGAAAAAATTCATCACGAAAAAACGATAATTCGGACCACTCTGTCTTTTCCCGCCAAAAACTCTCCTCAAATTTTATGTGACAGATAAAAAGCGTCACGAAAGGCCGAAAATCTGGAACTCCCCGCTTTTTCCCTCCAAAAAAGTGTTTTCTACCTTTCGTAACGTATTTAAACAATGTTGAATAGTATTTTACTGTTCAGTACCATCACAAAATCCCAAATTTCTAGTAGTGTGAGATTAGTAGCCTTTTTTTGTGATGTGTTTCTCCATCCTCTTGACCTAAACCGCTACTACCTATTTATAGTGTTTTCAAAACCCTAATTTACAAATGGAAAAAATATATTCATTACATAATCAATCAAATCTTATGATTATATTACAAATTTTGATTTGTACCCAAATTATGCTAAATCAAATTTAAAACTTTTCCATATGAGAGATTTTATTTTATTTTTATTGAAAGGTTTTATTTTGAGAAAATCTGGAAATTCACATTTAATTCAAAAAATCTTTTTGATTTTATTACTTTTTTTATTTAAAAAGATTTGATTTTTAAAAGGAAATCAATATTGAAATCAAATAATTTTTGTTTTTATATTTTTTTTATAAAACACACAAAAGGGAAAATATTGACCATAAATAAAAAAAAATTTACAAGAAAACTACTACAAATAAAGTAAAAAAATATTAATGAAATGGAATACCAGACAAATTTAGGGGTCACATGGTACAATCGTCTGAGTGGATATTTTTTGAAAGAAGGATATCAAAAAATAATCAAATTTGTCCTTGTGTTTTTATAAAGAAATCGCAATCGAGATTTGCCATTATAACTATATATGCTCATGACTTGAATATAATTGGAAGTTCTGAAGAAGTTTCAAAGGTAATAGAATATCTTAAGAAAAAATTTGAGATGAAAGATTTCGGAAAAAAAAAAAATTTGCCTTGACCTACAAATTGAGGATTTAGCAAATGTGATATTTATCCATCAGTCAACTTATACAGGAAAAGTTTTAAGAAAGTTTTATATGGACAAAGCACATCCATTAAACATTCCAATGGAAGTTCGTTCACTCGATGTGAAGAAAGATAGATTTCGACATCGAGAAAATAATGAAAAGCTTTTTGGTCTTGAAATACCATATCTCACTGTGCAATTGGTGCGTTTATATATCTTGCTAATAATACAAGGCCAGATATAACATTTTCTGTAAATTTATTAGCAAGATTTAGTTCTTCTCCAACAAAAAGACATTGAAATGAAATTAAGTATATACTTCGTTATCTCCGAGGAACAATTGATATGGGTTTGTTTTATTCTAACAAATCAAATTTTAATCTAGCTCGTTATGCAGATGCTAGATATTTATGTGACCCACACAAAATTAGATCTTAAACATGTTATTTATTCACATAAGGAGGAACTGCTATATCATGACAATCGGTAAAACAGACCATAACAACCACCTCTTCAAATCATGCTGAAATTCTTGCAATTCATGAGGCTAGTCAAGAATGTTCATGGCTAAAATCAATGATTAATTTAGAATATTCGTGGAATGTGTGACTTTTCTTCCAAAAATCTTCTAACAACACAGCATGTATAACTCAAATCAAAGGAGGATATATTAAACTCATGATTTGGAAGAAAATGACGACATCACCGTACAACAAATTTGTTCAAGAGATAACCAAGCAAACTTATTTACAAAGGCTTTACCTACTGCAACATTTGAAAATTGGTGCACGACATTAGAATGTGGCGACTCAGAGATCTTAAGTGATATTTCTATGAGGGGGAGAAAATATATTCTAATCATTTTTTTGTTTATTAAAATTATATGAAATATGTACTCTTTTTCCTTCGTTAGGATTTTTTCCTAGTAAGATTTTAACGAGACATATATCATATAAAAAAATGGGTATCTAAGAGGGAGTATTATAAATATTACATAAAATATTAGATATGCCCATCTTATTTTCCTTGTTCACCGAGGAGTATATTCTTAGTCATTAAGTTCATGCCACCTATAAAAATCCATAGGAGGCTATCAATCCCTAAGGGTGAAAAAGAACAAAAACTCTACCACTCTTTTCTTTTACCTCTACTTTATAATTTACTTTATAATTTTCTTATATTATTGTTTTAAGTATCTTGTTTTGTCCTCAATTTCACAACAAATTATGGATTAAAAACAAAATTACATGGTCTTTTTTGTTATGTTAAGTTTATTTTTAATAATATTTTAGGGACGGCTTTAATGGTAGAACACTACTGAAGTATTGATATTTAGTCCATGAACTTTATCATAACCCATCAACTTCAATTTTTTGATTCAGTGACAATTCAATATAATATTAAAAGATACTAAAACAATATTTTCTCAAAATAAACTTAGATATGTGTTTTTGAGATGTGATAAATTAAATTGTTAGTTAAACGTATGATTTACGTAAAATTGCATCTAAAAGAAGCAATAGATTCATACTCGAGTTTCAAAGACATTAATTGCTTACGTGCATTCTAATAAATTGGTGTAGTTCCTCGTTATCTTAGTAGTCAACGTTTCTCTCTTCATAAACTAGATCGTGTTGTTTAAGTTAAAACTTGAAAGTGAGATATCGTTTCCTCGATATAAAGATCCAAATAATTGAATTCTTTTAGTTATGCTTTTCCATAAATTACGTATCCCAATTTCTCATCTTAAACTTTTATGAGACAATGTCTTGGATGAACTATTTTGAAAATTTATTTTTACAAATGTCCAATGTTTACAAATTTTACAGTCTTAGATTTCTGGATTTAAAACTTTTTTCAAATGCCAATTTTGCACTTATTTATGACATTTATATTTATTATAATTAGTCTTTTATTTAAATGCAAAAGATTAATGTTACAAATTTGATTTTGTAAACATTAAATTATTGTGAGACATATATAAATTATTCTCATAATCCCCTAATTTACTCCTTAATATATTCTACTAAAGAATGAAATTTATTAAAAAATATTCGATTATTCTCATAATCCCCAAATTTACTCCTCAATATATTCTACTAAATAATGAAACCTATTACAAAATATTTTTTCATTTCATTTCAATTTTTGGCTCAGCTCAATTTCAATACTATAGCCATTATAACATACACTTATATGGAGATATATATATATTTATATGAAGATATAAACTATATCCGGCTACCTTTTCATTTATATAGAAATATAAACTATATCCGGCTATAAATTTAAGCAACATACACTTAATAAGGGTGATATAAACTATAACTATTATAACATACACTTATATGGAGATATTGTTGGAAATTTTAAACAAATCCTAATTCATGATTATTTTAAAATAAAAGCCATAAAATTCCAGAACAATGAAGGCCAAGGATCTAAGCATAGAAGAAAACCAAAATCTATAAAGAGATTAGAATTACCGAAACCATTAGATAGATTGACCACGACCTACAAGAAATTGTGGTTTGTGGTCTTCCTCAACTATGCAACCCAGACCAAATATAGGCAATACTCTCTGTTTGATGGGGAAAGGAGACTCAAGAAGCATAGTGTATTGGGGACCATAATCATATATTTATGGGTTAATCCTAGAATTAATGGATTGGTTTCTACTCAGCAAGTCATACCACTAAAGAAGTCACAAGCCCAAAATCAAGATCGTTCATATGCCCATTAAATATCCAACTATAATTTCTATTTAATTTGTTACCCACATATAATTATTAAATTAATTCCAACATATTTAGCTTCACCTCAAATCATTGTAATAGCTGTATCTTATCTCCAATTCTCCACTTTCCAATTGAGTTAAACTTTTGTTTACCATTTCTTTTGGTTAGTGAGTAGTCCAGAAAATTTCATTCAGCTTCTCCTGTGCCACGAATTGTTGACATTTTTATTGGCTTCTTCGAAAAGTTTTTCTACAGGCACAGCCACCCATTATTCAATTTTATACATTTGTCTTTTCTCCTATTAACTACTGAAAGTGATTGCTCTTTCAATATCTTTATTACTTGAAATTTTGGCATACATTAGTCATCACATTTTAATTTTGTGATTTTTAGAAGTAAAGGTCTCCCTCCACCAACAGCCCTTTCATCCAGCTTTTTAGGGAGGGATCCTTGACAACCAGCTGCCTTCTTATTTCTCAAGGTCTTTTTCGGTCTTTTTCTTGTATATTAAGCTAATGGTGAGCTTGGTTTGGTGTTTTTTTTTTTCTTGTAGTGGTACATTACATTTGTGGAACAGATAAAGCATGATTTTGATGTTCTGATAGTTTTTATCTTATGGGTGTTATGTTGTTTTTTAGGTGCAAATTTCAATGAAAGTAAGAAAGGGGAGAAACTTATAGTTCTGGTGGATTTCACTCTCTAATGTTGGCACTGGGTTTCGATGCTTATTGAATATAATTCTTGCTTATTGTCAAAATTTGGTGAACTATTTGGTTGACTAATTATTCATACTGTAGTGCTTCTTATCTTAAGGAGGTTTCCGGTGAAGGATGGAGAGTTGATGTACACAAGTTGTATGGATATATTGATCTTTTCACACTTGTTGCACATTGGTGGTTAGGTAAGTGAGAATAATGATTCTCTGCCTCTAAATCATCAAATGGAATATTTATATGTATCCTTCTAATATTGTTTTAGTGGCAAGCAAAACTTTTATATTAACTCATACTCCTATATATGTTTTTCTAAATTTTATATACTTATATGTGAGTGATGGTGTGGTTACAAAGTTTAGAGTTTGCTCGTAATTGATTTACTTGCTCTTTTACCTCATGAATGAAGCTAACTTTTTGAATATAACTATTCTTTTTCTCTTTCCATTCACTACAACCCTATAGGCATTGGTTAGCTCTGTACTGTCAACCTAATTATCTCTATGGTCAATAGTGGTTTGTGAGAATTTTGTTACTTTAAGCATGTTTTTATTCACGTACATAGAACTACGCATGATAATGTTGATTTCATATTTCATTATTGTTTCTTAAAAAATTAGCAAATTTGATTAACTTGAGAACAACAAATTGGCATCGAAATATTTCATTACGTTTGACATTATCAAACTTTTTCAGTTGGTTTTCCCTTTTTTTCTCTTTTAAACGAGTGTCATAGATAATATTCAACTGTACTAGTGATCATGAAAATGATTTTATAGAATGCAAAAGGTACAATTTAGTTAGACTTGTAGTTCTAGTTTGTTTTGCTAAATTTATAAATACCCAATTTTATCTTGATGTCAAAAGGTTCAATGCTAATGTGAACAAAATTTCTTTGTACCGGTAGTTATTATGTTTTTACTTGGAGATAGGTTAATACTTCTTGGTCTCATTAAAAACTACGAATCATTTTATCCATTCTAATAGGTATAGTAGTTTAAGTTGGAACTTTGCTATCTTGAATGTATAATTTTCATTCTAGGCTCTCTGTGTTAATTTTGACACTAAAGTGGAGATAACCTTATTTCCTCATCATGGGGAGATAAGTTAGAAAGAAAACCTATATCGTTGACATTTTCTATTTAGTTTAATTTAATCTAGAAATAAAATCTACATCGTTGATATCTTCTCTTGTTTTTCAAATGATTTCAGCCTTTAATTTAGTACCATTGCCTATTTTTTCATGTAGTTGAGGATTGACAGAGATCCATGTGTTGTTTGCAAAGAATCAGAGGCTGCGGACTTGGTTCAAATGAATGAGTCCAATTCTTATCAGTGTTATAAAAGGTTCCACAAAAGAAAAGGTGAAGCATTWTTTTGTTACATTGTATTTATTATAGTAAAGTTACTTGTGACATCTTCTTTGTTTTTTAGTTTGCTCTATCTGACTTGTATTCATTCTCTCAAATACATTCTTTGCACACTACCAAACCTTGAATTTGTTTTTCATATCTTCAAGTAGATTAGCCACTTAGACTATTTTGGCAAGTTCAACAATGTCCGACTTCTAACATCAATGTTTGTTTCATTAGTGATATTTCTACCAGGTTGTTCGAGTTGTTATTTAGACCTTGAAGAACTTACTCTACAATGGGGCATTTGGAGCTCAAATGGTGGGTCTCAAACTACCACAAATTGTGTTATGCATTTAGACGTATCATAAGTTGTGTTATGCTTTTTTTTTTACAAGAAGCAAAAGCATATATAAAAGATCTTCATTATAAACTTATTCACTTATCCTAAAGGAATTTTGTTATTTTGTAATGTTTGAAACAAAAGCTTCAATCTATATATGATGAAGGTAAATAGATTGTGTACGTATTGGTGTGGTATAAATTGAGTAAGGATTTGATTCCCTTGATACACTAAATTTCCACTTTATTTGAAGTTCAATGAAATATTATTTTCTTTTACTTTTTAGATTTACAATTTTACTGCTTGTTGGGTTATTTTTAACTACATAGCCACCGTGTGTAGTTGGGTTTTACAAGATTCACAACTTTTTTTTTTACAAGATTCACAACTTTTTTTTTTTATTCTGTCACTTTATTGTGTTTACTTACTACGAATTTTGAGTTATTTTCTTAGATCCAGCAAATAAGTGTCGGAGAGAAGTTAAGATGGAAGCATTGAGTTTTTAAAATACAAGAAATTCTTGGTTGGATTCGTACCTCAACGTATATGTGGTACTGCATTATTTAAAATTTTATTTCGATGTTATTGTTTATGTCAAATTTTTTGAAAAAGCCCACTTTTCTAACTTGCTCATTATTGGTTTAGATGACAGGATCAAGCTTCGCACTGAAACGAGAAGTTGTAAGGGTTTTTTATTTTGTCGGACCGCATCTAGGTGATATTAAGCATGTTGTGGCCATTTCCATCAAAGTTCTATTATAACAAAGGTAAACTCACTTGATTTTCGTCATCATTCATACACTAGTAGAAATTCAATTTTTTGTGACGTTTTTTAAACGTCACAAAAATCTTTCGTGACTTTTTTTATGTCGTTACCTATACGCCCATCACGAAAGGTATACGTGACGTTTAAAAAACATCACGAAAATTAGCACATGTGACGGTATACGTCATGCAAAATATAGACTCGACGACGTTTTTTAAACATCATGAAAAATGATTTTGTGGCGTTTTAAGATTGTCACGATTAAGACTTTTCGTGACGTTTAAAAAATGTCACTGTAAATGAGTAACCGTGACGTCATTTGATTTTGTGACGGTTATACAACGTCACGGAAAGACCTTATGTAGTGAGAAAAGGTCATGTGACATCCTTTCTTGACGTTTTTTAAACGTCACCAAAAAAAGATTTCCTGACGTTTAAAAATCGTCACAAAATACTTTTGTGACGATTTAAAAACGTTACGAATTATTTTATTTTGTGACGATAATAAAAAAATCACAGAAAATGTATTTGATTTTGCTTGCAAATGTCACGTAATATTTAAATATCATATAATTAAATTATCGATCGAAATCGCAAATACATTAATTTAGATAACAAAGTTGAAATATAGTAGGAACAAAGTATTCTCCTCGGACTTGCTAGTACATTATATTAAACATGTTCAAATGTCTACAAACACAAATTATAGAATTAAACAAGTCTCACACACCCTAATTGTCGACTTTTTTGGGTTAGTGAAAGACCTAATGAAAAAATAATACCCAAGTTAGATAAATGAATAACTAAAGATAGATAAGGGAAGAAAGCCACTTCTAAAAGAACGAGATATAGTTCATCAAGATGCGGTCTAGCAATATAGAGAATGATGATCACAATAGTTAATAGTTCAACGAGAAATAGTTTAGCTATAGTTACAACATATAATAAGACCAATTCAGATTGATTTAAGATTTCAATGCCACAATATGAATGATGATCACACAATAGTTAATAGCTTACCTTTGTTTTATTAAATTAAGATGGAAATGGCCAAACAAGCTTAAGTTCATCAAGATGTGATCTAGCAACATTGAGAAACTTGGCAACTTCTCGTTCCTAATGCCAATCTTGAAATCTTTATTACCGGTCTCTGTCATATAATGCAATGATGGGCAAGTTACAAAGAGCCATGTTCTTAATAGACTGCAGTTAGTTGAAAATTAGTAAACGAACATCGTAAAGCTTTTTTATTCATTCCAACATAAATGTGAACAACTTCATACATATGATGAGATGAGTGATATAAAAACAAACTTCAAACATATGACTAGTGTACAACTCCACCGTTATTTCTAGTCATCTGCAACTAAACAGAAAGACAAAGTTACCAACTTTTCCACAAATAGAACTTCATAATTGAAAATTCTGCACTGACCAAAATGTTGATTGCATTTTTTACCACCAGTATGAGATCAAGTACAATCAAATATAAGCATGAAAAAATATATAGATTAATGAACTTTGGTCGTACTAATTAATAAGAAGTTGTTATTTTGTAATGATACAAATTTCTACCTAAGCAAAAGAGAAAATTCCTAAAGTCAAGAAAGCAAAAATAACAACAAGAAAAGACCTGGTCACTTAACCTTCTTTGGAACTTATGACTTTCCAGTGGTGACCATTATACAAAATACAAAAAACCAAGGTAAAAGGAAAAGACTCTAAGATGGAAGAATTGGAACTCGATATAATGCATACTCCACAACTACAAAAACTCAATTATAATTAACTTTAATGAAAAATATTACACATAAATATAAGTTTTGATTCGAGATTTTTAACAAATAAGGTCTTGAGAAAAATCTAGCTAAAGCCCAACATTTTACACTTATACACAAGAAAAGTAGTTCAAATCGTTAGCTATTTGGAGATCAAATGATCAAATATCACAACCATAAACAAGCAAATAGTTCCAACAATTAGCAAGCATAACAAAAAAGTTCTAAACATTAAAGAAGTTAGTTATAAGGAGCCATTTGTTTAGCCATTGCCACTGTGCTTCATTGATCATCTTTGATTGAATCACTTGAATATCATCATTTTGCTAATTTGTCTTGCCAAAAAGAAAACATTTAGACAAAACAATAACTATTTATTTTCATTCAAAATGTAATGCATATATACTTGACCAGAAAAATATAATGTTTTACAGTGATTGTAGTCATAACAGAGCATAATTAAACAATTATAAACAACTAGAATCAATCAAAGTTATCCAGAACATCCAACATTCATAGAGAAACATTTAGCAACAATATCCAACGAGCATTAAGAGATAAAACACATAGATTAAAACATGTCTTCATACTAAGCACACAACAAACATCCCTATAAGTAAGAGCTACTTACAACTCGCCTAAACGCTCATAACTTCTTGAGTCGGATTGAAACCTAGGCAACAAGGTAAAATCAGCATGTTACAACTCAGTTTTGACTACTAAAGTTGAATCTAAAAGGGTGTTCAAAGGGTCGTCACCCACTAAACCTTGCTGAAACAATGGCGAAAGTGTTGGGACTTGTAGATTTGATGAAAACAAGGTGTGGGTATCACAGATCGGGCTTTGTTTTGGCATGAGTAAGCGTAAATTGAGAATAAGTCAATTTACTCTACCAAGATCATGTAGGACACTTGTCCATAAAGAAATGTTTAAAATTTAATAAACCATACCAATAATAGTAACCAATTGGGCTAAACTAACAAACTCTCCATTTAAGCATTCTTGTAAACTATAACAAATTCCAGATTGGATGTAACAAAATCAGGAAAAAAAATACAACTCCGTGTGAATCACTTTTCAGTAATCTATATAGAAATTTATCAAGAAAGAAGCATAATAATTGGAAAGTAATTTCTAATGTGGGTTAAGTTAAAAAAGCATATAATATCATAATCAGATCAAAATAATGGCCATATAACAATTATCACATTTGCTTTCCCTCCTAGTCTAGTTTCAGAAGCAAGGATCTGGCCATCCACAATCTTCTTCAAGTCGCTACGTAACCTTCTCTTGAAGTCTTTGAACATTGTTGAACATCCAAATAGTAATGTATTCAGAAGTATAAGAAACAAATCTATTCAATAAGAGAAATAGGCTTTTGTAAAGAATAAGAATGACTACAAAATGACTACCACAATGAAAAACAGTCATTGTATATGTCTAAGTAATTGAATTGAAGTTAATCTCAATAAGAAGTCATGTATAACAAAAAAACCAAAAGGAAAATAAATTGGACATAAAGTAAATGTGATAATTGAAAGATGACAATCTATTTGAGAAATAAAAATCATCTAGAAAGGAGACCAAATTCACCTTACAACTTCTCTTGCACAGCCAAATGAAGAACAAAAAGGAAGATTTGTTCTCGAGATGACAATGGATGATACACATTCCATGATATGCAATTAGCATTTGAATCATTCCAAACATCTTGGAAGAAATGACTTGGGGTCAGCATTAATATTATTCAAGAAGGTGGAGTCAGAGAGGTAAATATGTACAACTGTACAGTTTGTCCATTTAAGGCCTTTCCCTTTTAATTACTCATTGAGGGACCGCCTTCTAACAACTTTTGTAATGGCTAAATTAGGGCAAATTTAACAGCAAGGACTTCATAGAATCCTAATACAAAGTTTAATAATATATTTAAAATTTTTTAAGTTCAAGATCTAAATTGGTACAATTGAAGACTAAATTTATGATTCATAATAATAATAGTGATAGTGAAATTTGCTTACAGCACCACTTCTTCGAAGATCAAGTGCCTTTTTGGAATATAATTTCCATAGCATCCGGCATCAAAGGCACTGCATATAATTTCAAATACAAATTGTAAGCTGCAAACTTTAAACTATCTTTAAGTCCTACCCTTCCACTTCAATGGTCAAAAACATCGTTTAAACTCATAAAACACATAAAGACTTTTGATTGATTAGAAAGTTCATCACTATCAAACTAACCTAGATTAGGGCATTAAAAGGGCAATGTACAAAGCTAGAAGCCCCCAAATACCTCACCTGACAAACCCACAAACTTGAATTTAGAACGAAAGAACACAAGATAACAGAGAGGGTCAGGCCAATTGAACCCGAAGTTGAAAGAAAGCTATAAATTCGAGAAAAAGAAAGAAGTGGGTTATGCACCTAATCGAACTCACCAGCAAATGTTCAGCGTTTGCCAAAGGAAAAACGTGAAGGACGAAGTACAGAAGAATCATTGCTCAAACAATCGCTCAGTAAAACGGCTGCCGAAGTTCACCACGCGAATGAATGCTCTTGGGTTCGTTGTTGCTCGTTGTCGCACGCTACCAAGAGAGAGGAGATGCAGGGTAGAGGAGAAGAGAAACTACGACCCAAAAGAGAGAGGGAGAAGACAAGGGTTTGACTGTTTGGAGTGGGTGGGAAATTCATTTGGGGAAGTTTTGGGAGGGAAGGAAATAACTTGGATCTGGTATTTTTTATTTTTTATTTTTTGGATTTTTTTAGATTGAAATATTTACTTTATATCAAAAATGATAGAAATATTAATAGAATTTTTTATTTTTTTTATCACAAAAAGTAAAAAATTCGGAACACTCCGTCTTTTCCCGCAAAAAACGCGCCTCAATCTTTTGTGACGTTTTTTAGACGTTACAAAAAACCAACTTTTTGACGACCATTTCGTGACGGTTAGAAAAACGTTATGAAATGTCAAAAATTCGGAACACTCCGTCATTTCCCGCAAAAAACGCGTCTCAACCTTTCGTGACATTTTTTAAACGTCATGAAAAATCAACTTTTTGACGACCATTTCGTGACGGTTAAAAAATGTCACGAAAGGTAAAAAATCCAGAAATCTCCGTTTTTTCCCTCCAAAAATGCGTTTTTTTACCTTTCGTGACATTTTTTAATAATCTTCAGCAGTATTTACTATTCATGGACGTCAAAATTCTAGTAGTGATACTATAGCATTTGAATCTTAAATCTTTTTTAATCGGCCTTGTTATATGATGTAACTATAGCTAATTTAGCACCTTTATCCGATTATTGAGTAAGTTCACAAGGAAGACTGAATATTGATTAAAGATACTGTCGTTAGACGAGGAATGTACGTTTACAATCAGTCTGATATACTAGCTAGTTTGTGCTATATTGTTTAAGTATGTTTTGTGATGTGCTGCTGAAGGATATAGAAGAAGTGTTGGGTTCTTTTGTTATTGTAACCTTTTTTGTTCTGTTTCGAACTTTGTTTGGTCATTTTGTTGGTTATTGTATCATATTATTGTGTAAGTACATAAAAGTTTTATGAATACTTATTAATGATACTTTCGTTACGGGATGATTGTACGTTTACAAACCTTATGATTGTTCTGATATTTTGTGCTATGTAATTAAAGGATGTAGAAAAAGTGTAGGCATGTCGTTTATTTTAATCGCACTTCCTCTGTTGAGATCTTTGTTTGGTCGTTATGTTGGTTGTTTTATCAGATTATTGAGTAAGTTGATAAGGAAGACTATGAATGTTGATTATTTGTAGTGTTGTAGAAGATTAATGTACGTTTTCAATCATTGTGGTACTTGTTTAAATTTTTAAATATTATTCGATATTACTAAGGATGTAGAAGAAGTGTACGTAGGTTGGTTTTTGTTTAATCAATTTTGTACTGTTGGAATCTGTATTTGCAAAGATTACTATTGTGATAGGCTCCTAGTGTGTTTATTTAAGAATATTATTTGCAAAGATCACGATCCTTTGCAATTTTTAATAGATAGACACGTTCTTTTAGAAGTGAATTTCTTCCCTTATCTATTTTTCGTTATTCATATATGTAACTTGTGTATTGTTTTTTTCATTAGGTCTTTCACAACCCCAAAGAAGTCGACAATTAGGAATGCAATTAATTGATGGATGAGTTTCCTTGTTGGGGTTGGTGTCAGACTTGTTTAATTCTGTAATTTGTGTTTGTAAGAATTTGAACATGTTTAATATAATGTAATAGTAAGTCCGAGAATACTTTGAGAATACTAATATATTATAAATTAATATATTAGTTTTCTTGTTCATGTTTAATATATTTCAACTTTGTTATCTAAATTAATATATTTGCTTATTCGATCGACAATTTCATTATATGATATTTCTATTACGCGACATCTACAAGCAAAATCAAATACATTTTCTGTGATTTTTTTATGATCACAAAATAAAATCATTTGTGACATTTCTAAAACGTCACAAAAATGTTTCTAAAATGATTATTGAATGTCATGAAATATTTTTTCATGACATTTTTTAAACGTCACGAAAGGATGTCACGTGACCTTTCCTCGCTACTCAAGGTCTTTCCGTGACGTTGTATAACGTCACAAAATTAAATGCCGTCACAGTTACTCATTTACGGTGACTTTTTTTAAATGTCACGAAAAGTCTTAATCGTGACCTTCTTAAAACGTCACGAAATCATTTTTAATGACGTTTAACGAACGTCGCAGAAGCCTATATTTTGCATGACGGTCTTTAACTGTCACATGTGCTAATTTTTGTGACTTTTTTTAAATGTCACGTATACCTTTCGTGATGGGCGTATACGTGACAGCGTCGAAAACGTCACGATAAACCGAATTTCAGAATGCAGGGTGAACTTGCGAACATTTGGTTGCGTTTATTACCCTATTTTAAAATCTTACGATGCTCACAAAGCTTCAACCCAAAACTATTCGCTGCGTTTTTCTTAGTTATCCTTCAGATTATAAAATATATTTGTGTTATGACATGAGTAATGGATGATTGTATACTTCTCGTCATGTTGTTTTTTATGAATCCAACTTCCCTTTTACCACTTCTTCTACCTCATATTTCTCTCATTCCACTTCATCTGGTTCATCTCTCTTATTCTCTTCTAATCCTTTACTACCTCTGCTTTTATCTGTCTCACCTTCTGTTTCTATCTCATCTACTGCTATTGTCTCAAAAACTTTATCTCATGTTCCTAATAGAAATAGTCCTCAGAATTAGTTAAACAATGGCTTTAATATTGGTTCTCACAATCAGTTAGACAATAGTCCTGATATTTGTCCGGAGGTTTCCTCTGCATCTCATTTCCCAAATACTTGTGCTACTGATTGTGCTATTGATATTACTGCCCATGTGCCTGTTGGTTTGACATTCCAGTGGTTGATGGTGTTGTCCCCTTATTTTTACTATTGATATTGCTCCTACTACTATTTCACATGATAATTCTATCACCAATCATCATCCTATGCAAACTCGTAGCAAATCAGGAATTTATAAAAATAAGATATTTGATACAACCAATTCTTCTTCAAATGCATTTCAGCTTTGTGTTGGGTATGTTGCCCTAAACTCGTACTTTGTAATTAATGTAAAAACAAATTTCTATTCAATAAAGTTTTATTCAATCAATTTGTTGTTGAATTTATAGCATTGCATTGTCTAAATCCAATAAACTAAACATCCAAGGTTATTTATCATGTAACCGGGATAGTATATATACCAGGTATATATTTGATATATCCTCGATATACAAGTGGATAATGTCTCAGGAATAACCTAAATGGTTTATAGTATATGGATAAGGCTAGGTACCTTATCCAGGCAATACTATGGATACGGCCCACTTTGTAAATGTTACAGACGACCCGATCCAGGTCATTCATATGGAGACATGTGAGTGGAAGGCTCCTATACAATGAGTTTGTATAAGACCGGACCACGAAATAGCCGATCTTTAGATGTAACGTTGTTAACTAACAAATTGCTATTTTGTAGGATGACTAGGCAACTCATTCTCAATCCTGAGTGAGTTATGGACTTCCGCCTGTGAAGACTCGTCCTTTGATTTGTATGGGTGAGAGTGACCTGAGTCGCCAACTCAACATTCCTACCATTTTGGGGACGAGACCAAGTGGGGAGCTGGGAACATAACTTCGCAAGATAGAATTCACTCCTCCCCGACTTTTGGGGAGTAGATGAGTGATCTCTTAAATGCTGACTCTGAGACTTGAACAAGGGGCCCTACCCTCTCACTGGGCCGAGAGGGACTTCCGGTTAATGGTAGGACCATAACCGGGGTGTTCATTATAGGAGCGGTGGTATTTACGGAGTAAGATGTAACACAGAGGTAAAACGGTAATTTGACCCATCTGTGGTTACGAACGCTCGTGAAGGATTGACTTGCCATTAATGGTTGTATATCCGTGGACATGAAAATATTCTGCAGTGAGAAGAGTGCAACTGCGGGTCTTTAGTGGAGTGACCCATAGTAAACGAATGTTGATTAACTCAGTCAATGAGTTTTGACCGGTTAATCTCGTATCGTTGGAGCTTCTGATCTGTAGGTCCGTTAGGTCCATTTGCTAGCTCACAACGGGTAAACGAGGATCAATTTTTTTGGAAGAACTTGAAATGTTCAAATTGCTTGAGGGATTAAATGTATGTATATTGATACATTATAATATATGGTTAATTCTAAATTGAAACTATATATTATGAGAGAAATTATTTGAATGAAATTCAAATAAAAATTACTATAAATATGATTCATATTAAGCTATAGGTTAAAAATAATATGCATAAGATGTACATTACAACTATATGTTATATGAAAGAAATGCTTTAGAATATGATTATATTTTTACAATAAATAATTAAGTGTTAATTATTTATTTGGTTAATATATATATATATATATATATATATATATAAAATTAAATAATTATTAATTAGATTAATAATTAATAAATACGATTAATTAATTATGTATATTATTTATTATTAATATAACACACCTCCTGCTTAATTGTAGGGGAGTGAGAGGTTAGTGATGACGTGGGGACTCCCTACGTCATCCTTGTTGCAGTTTACAGAATGGTTCTGTAAAAACAGAACATAATCCTCCCTGCATTTCTTCTGGTAAAAAGAAAAAAGAAAGATCTCTCTCTAATCCCGATTGTTTTTTGGCTTCCAATCTTGGTTCCCACAAGCACATTCTTGTACCCAGAAAATAGCAAGGATGATCATTTGGTGGTGTCAATTGGGTTTGTTGAAGGACTGTTCGTCAAAGGTAATACCAAATTCCCATGTATTTTCATTCTGTTTTGTGGTTTTGTTCCTCAAAATTCAAGAACAAAGATCCCTATCTCCACTGTGGGATTTACGTCCTTTCACTTTCTTCTTTTACTCAAGCATTTCGACTTCTTGTTTGGAAAAGGCTATGACAGATGAATATAATGATCTGATTCATCAAAATACTTGGGTTCATACTCATGTACCTCCTAGGAAAAGTGTTATATGCTGTAAATGGGTTTACTGGGTCAAAAGAATTTTGATGGCAGTATTTCTCACTACGAAGCACGCCTAATTGCTAAGGGGTATCATCAAGAAGAAGTCATTGATTATGCATAAACTTTTAGTCCCTTGGTAAAGAAACCCACTGT